TCTGTAGTTAATTAAATGGTTGTGTGACATTGCGATTGCTTGATACACAGGCATTCCTTGTATTCGTCAAGTCATGCTTGTCATCCTGTTCACGAACACATATCTTTCAAAGATGACGGTTGATGAAATACGTATGTAGTCCTTGGTACGCCACGTCTCTGATGTTTCGCTACTCCCACGTATAATTTCGTTGTACATCAAGTCTGTGATCACAAGGGATTATGTATACCCCTGAGAGGTGGAGGAGTGTTGTCTACTATGGTGATGTCCTTTGATGGTCGGGTTTGTGGAGAGTAGATATTGGAATGATGTTTTGGCAAAGATGTTGGAAACATGTTTGGCACATGGAGTTGGTCGGGAAGGGACTTGTATCTCTTCTCGGCAGTGTTCTTCTCTGGGTGTGTGAAGAGGTTTAATGCTCCCGTCTGCAGTCTTGATGAAGTGACGAGGATAGTGGAGTTTGGAAATTACTGTTCAAATTATAGTGCATTCTTCTCAAGGAAAACTCACGTTTGACTGCAGATTCTGATTGCACGCAGGATAGAAGCCTATAATACACCACGTTTGGTTTTGGTTGTGTGTGTGAGAGTAGAAGTGGGAAGATCGTTTTGGTGGTTCAGACGGTTTTCGATATAGACTTTTAAACGAAGTTCGTGGTCAGCTTTGAAGAGTAGAACATCAAGAAAAGGACGGTGTTTGTCGACTTCTTCTGCAAGTTGTGATTGGATTGAAGGCTCGACCTGGTTGAGCTTGTCTTGGTAGAAGCTTGGACGTTGAAGGGCGTGTAGGAGTTATGGGAGAATGTCGTCAATCATAAACGGAGCAGTGTACAGACGAAGAATAATGGTGGAGAAACGTTCGCTTCTAGATGTTCCTTGTATAGGTTCGCAGGACTGCACTGAGTGGCGAACCCATGGGTAGTCCAAAAAGTCTGCGGAAAGAGGTGATTTTCGATAGAGAAACACGTAAAGCCAACACATAGTTCAACCAAGGTCGATGAATATCGCTGGCTGGAATGGGAAGATCATGCTGAATCGGCAATTTTCTGCGCTCAAGAGATGATGGCTTGTTTAGTAGGTACTTTAGTGAATAGGGAAGGAAGCACGTCAAGGCTGGGAAAGTGTCTTTGTTCCTGATGTTAATGTGCGAATGCGATTGAGACGAATCACATGAGTGTTTGAGATGTGCCTGGACTGATAGTGCCCATGAGTTTAGAGGGTGTTTGGCGAGAATTACTGGCAGAAGCTGGTTGGGGAGTAAAAGCAATTCGCCTATTCCCGAGGACATTCAAGGACATCATGGAATCACCAGTATAGGACAGGACAGGCCTCCATCTCTGACAGGGGTATACATAATCCCCTTGTAAATGACTGACAACAAATTATACGTGGGCGGAAAACTTCAGAGACCTCCAAACACGTATTTCAGAATCACCATTATTGCAGCAGGAATGACGATACAACCGATGCCTGTGTACAACATTCGCAATTCACACAACCATTTAATTAACTACAGAAACTCAAGATTATAGCCCAGAAGAACAACACTCAATACAGGAAGAAGCCTGGATTATCGTTTATCTCTTAAACCAACAAATTTCAACCAGAAACAATGGCTTCTATATCATTGGCTGATCCACTCCGCCAAGCAAACTTCTTCCATAGTTATCACACATAAGAATCATAGAACACTGCAGAAGGTCTACTCACAACTTGTCCAATTCCCCGCCCTAGTACCCAAGACGCTACAACCCCTCCCGGTAGATCATCTGATGCAGCAATCTTCACCTTGACTCAAGTTCTGAACTATATATACTCCCGTTACCTTCCAACCCCAGGTAGACCGTGTGTGACTTGAAAAAGCCCACTGCGTGGGTGAAACGTTGTCAATAAAGGATCACATTTTACTGCATTTGTGTTTGATATTTCCATTGTGTCGGTTATTTTATACCCGATTTATTTCCCTCTGAATGATGCAATGTCGGAGAGTGGCAGATGCAGTTTATAGAGAAGTTGCAAAGTTCTAAATGTTAGACAGGAAAATAACCATGCCACATATGAATTAAATAATTTAGATCTTAATATTACTGAATGTAAAAAGGATTTAGGAGTTCTGGTTAAGCAGTAATCGAAAACCAAGACACACAGCTGCTTATTGTTCGCAATAAAGCTAACAGAATTCGTGGCTTCTAAGCTAGAAGTTATAAATATGACGTCCTCAGGTTGTTCTCAACTCTATATATCCTTGGGTTAGGCCTTTTTTGACTATGCTGCTCAGTTCTGGTCACCGTTATTACAGAATGATAATAAATGATCTGAAAAACGTACTGTGGTGGAGGTACAAGATGATCCCATGTATCAGAAATCCTTCCTTGAGGAAGGACTGGAGGCCCTGAATCTGCCTCTCTAAAGAAGAAAGGCGTAAAATTAGGATGGATGTGAGTTAGGTAATTAAATGCGAAAACAATAAATATAAGGCGGATGTAATAGGTACTAAAATTTCCAGCCAAAGACAGGACTCGCAGCAATGGTTTCAAGTTGGAAAATCAGATTCAGGACAGGATATAGGAAAGCACTGGTTGGTAATAGAGTTGTGGTGGGGGAAAGAAACCCCGGTACAGTTTTTAAAAGCTAAAAAAGTTAGATAAATACAGAGTGGTGTGGTTAAACCTGAGTAGCTTGGGGGTATGGGTCGTAAGGGGATGTGACCTGGACTTGACTAGGTTGGGTCAGTGCATAACCGGTAGGCATTTGGGCCTCCCAAACCATACCCCCGGGCCCGGGATTAAAACCCGGGGTATAGTCTCAAAACCCACCCTCACTTTTTAGCCACTAACCGCTAGCCAAATAAGTTTCACCCAACTAGGTATATTTCTACCCATAGGAAATTAGCACAGGCACCTCTGTGCCCACAAATGCAATTTTTTTCAGAGGGGGGAATCTCCCTAGCGTGGCCGTCGAACCTAGCTCAATTTGGGATGAATCTTATGTGGCTAGCTGGTCATGGCAACGCGACGGGCTGGAGTTTTGAGACTCTATAACCGGGGGTTTTCAATCCGGCCGGGGGGAGGTTTGTTTCCAACGTTTTATTAAAATTTTTTGAGAAAGTCGTTTGGGGACCGCTTTACAGGGGCCAAAGCCTGCTGCGTGTTCCTTCCTTCTTATTTTTTGTGGCAGAATTTTTCACCGTAGCTGCCTCACCTTACTCGGTTTACTATTACTCTGTTTTTTGTAGTGAATGGTTCAGAGAACCGCACTGTTTTTTAAATAGCCATGTGCAACTCTTGGGGCTTAATGAGGAAAGTTTCGCCACACGTGGCTTCATCACCCTACAAAGGAGAAAAGTGGAGAACAGGAAAGATAAAGATACCCAAGAGTTCACATGTTCAATTTTTTCTTTGTATTTGTTTGTTTTGGAAATTATAGATCCCCTTTACCCAAATTTTTTTGTTACTCCTTTATCCGCTTTTGTGCCGTTTAACCATGCTCACACCTCCAAGGTTTTAGCAAAATCCCGGATACTACTTTTATTTTCTTTGTCCTCCAAGCATCTAAGACCGTCATAGTGGGCCAGTGGTTGGGGCAGGGGAGTATGCTCAAACCCCTGTTGCCCCGAATCTAGGGGGTGGGGATCTTGCTGCTTAGAACCCTTTCAAAGTTTTTTTTGTATTGGCCCTTTGCTTCGGGCTGTAATTCTTTGTTGCTTTCTGCCACCCTTTAGACGTGGGGCTATGTCTGTTGTTTTTAGCGGGGTTGGGATCCCCTGTGCCATGCTCCCCTCCAATAATGCTAAGGCATGTGAAAATGGGTTCTTTCAGTTTTTTGATAACACGGATTCCATTGTAGTTTTCCTTTTTCCTTACTAATTTGCTACAAATACCTGTGTGTGATGGCAGTAGGGGAGTATCTTGTATCTCGCTGGCTTTGCTTTACCAGTACCTGTGTGTAACGGCTCGAAATCAGGTGAAATATATTTTTCCTTGTCAATTCGCACTGTCTCCTGTATTTCATCTTCCAAACGGGGAAGTGACGGTACCCTGTGGTCCGGACTCCCCTTATATCAGTGTGACGATGACTCCACTTGGGTACCTTACCAGATCACTGCTAAGTTACATTCTCTGAGAGGCCAGGACGAATCCCAAGACGTGGTGGGAGTCCACAAGCTGTGTCGGCGACAGGGTTGCCGAGCTAGCCTCAATTATCTCCCCAAAGACGAAACTACTGGATGGCATCAAAGGTATGTCTGACGTGTATATATACTGCATATAATTTTGAATGAGGTTACATGTCAACTGGGGTGATTCAACAGTTTATACTTACTGTCTGGGGTATAATATAGGTAATATTCTTTGTATATAATGATAGGTATGTTAATAACAATAACGATATTATTATTTATTACCACTCGGTATATACACCGGAAATAAATAACAAAAAGGCACAATACCGTACTGGAACGAATACCAAATAACCCGCATATAAAAGACAGAAGCTTACGACGTAAGCTTCTGTCTTTTATGTGCGGGTTATTTGTGTATATACACCGGATGTATACAGCTAGAGGTGTATGTCTGTGTATATATATACTGGGAGATTAATATTGGATGTACGTATTAATATGTGTAGTGCTAGTGAAGACTGATAGCATCCACGACCTCATGGGAGACTACCACCCACACCATGGGTATGTGTGACTACCACCCACACCATGGGTATGGTGTGACTACCACCCACACCATGGGTATGGTGTGACTACCACCCACACCATGGGTATGGTGTGACTACCACCCACACCATGGGTATGGTGTGATACCCCCACATGGTATGGTGTGACTACCACTCACACCATGGGTATAGTATGACTACCACCCACACCATGGGTACGGTGTGACTACCACCCACACCATGGGTAAGGTGTGACTACCACCCACACCATGGGTATAGAAGGTGCGAAATAGACATTAGACTAACGCTTTAAATCTTAATGTCATTCTGTGACAGATAACTGAGTTCACTGATATCGCCTTGTGGGTCGGTGCACATGCAACCATCGACTCTGGCTACGAGTGGATAGATGGATCTCCCTTCAACTACGTCAACTGGAGAGAGGGTGAACCAAACAACCTGATGGGTGAGTAGTACATGGCTGTTCAACCTGATTGTGAACAGTGATTCCTTGCTCAACTTGATGTGTGAACATTGGATCGTTGTTCATCTGTGGTTCAATCTACCAGAAATTCTTGTGACACGTGCGCAATAAAGGCATGGGACTGGTGGATAACCAACTCTAGGCCTTTCGGAGTCACAGATCGTCTTCAGGAGCTTGCAAAAGTTAAAAAATGGTAAATTCAGGTGAGAGAATTGGTTTCCTCAGTCGTTGTTGTCCTGGGGACGACACGGACAGAAGAGGTAACCAGCCACACAGAGACGCAGACTCCATACATAGCCTTAAACCTAACCTAACCTAACCTAACCTATTAATAAGATGTTTTGATAAAACTTATGGGACAGGGAGAAACTGAACCTAGTATCGACAAGTGAGGAGGAGGGGCCAGGAGCTTTGACTAATCCATGCAACCACAAATTGGTGAACACAGGCAACCAAGAATGTGTAGTCAATGTCTAAAGACATTATAAAAACTGACATAAATAACGAAATAGGTAAGTTGACTTAGGTACAGCTACACATAATTACAATTATCATACCTAATAAGATAGGTGTAAATTACCCATCAGGATAACACAAAAATGGCCATACTAAGTGACTTATTCCACTGACGAACTTTTAATGTAAACACGAATTACAATACAAATAATAACTTTATTTAAGCAAATTATGCTTGAAATAATAATAATATTATTTACTACAAGTACATGTACAAGGTATACAAGTACAGGTACAAGGTATACAAGTACATGTACAAGGTATACAAGTACATGTACAAGGTATACAAGTACGTGTACAAGGTATACAAGTACGTGTACAAGGTATACAAGTACATGTACAAGGTATACAAGTACGGTACAAGGTATACAAGTACATGTACAAGGTATACAAGTACATGTACAAGGTATACAAGTACATGTACAAGGTATACAAGTACGTGTACAAGGGATACAAGTACATGTACAAGGTATACAAGTACTGTACAAGGTATACAAGTACATGTACAAGGTATACAAGTACATGTACAAGGTATTTCAAGTACAGGTACAAGGTATACAAGTACATGTACAGGTATACAAGGGACATGTAACAAGGTAAATACAAGTACTGTACAAGGTATACAAGTACATGTACAAGGTATACAAGTACATGTACAAGGTATACAAGTACATGTAAAGGTAAACAAGTACATGTACAAGGTATACAATACATGTACAAGGTATACAAGTACATGTACAAGGTATACAAGTACATGTACAAGGTGTACATGTACAAGGTATACAAGTACTGTACAAGGTGTACATGTTTCAAGGTAATACAAGTACATGTACAAGGTATACAAGTACATGTACAAGGTATACAAGTACATGTACAAGGTATACAAGTACATGTACAAACATAAGAACATAAGAACATAAGAAAGGAGGAACACTGCAGCAGGCTGTTGGCCCATACAGGCAGGTCCTTTACAATTCATCCCAACTAACAAACATTTGACCAACCCAAATTTTCAAAGCTACCCCAAGAAATAAGCTCTGTGTGCAAGTCCCACTCAATCCAACCCTCCCACTCATGTCTTATCCAACCCAAATTTGAAACTAACCAAGTCCTGCTCAATAACCCAACAGGTAACTGTTCCACTCATCAACTACCCTAATTCCAAACCAACACTTACCTATGTCCTTTCTAAATCTAAACTTATCTAATTTAAATCCATTACTGGCGGGTTCTCCCCTTGGAGAGGATATCCCTCAAGACCTTGTTAAATCCCCTTTATAATACCTATCTCCACTTATAAAACTTCGATCAGGTCTCCCCTCATTCTTCGTCTAAAAAAGTGAATGTAACTTAAGTTTCAAATCTTCTTCATAAGGAAATTCTAATGCTATGGATTAATTTACAATCCTACGCTGAATGGTTTTCTAACGAATTTATGTCCATTTTGCAATACGGAAAACCAAACTGAAGCTGCATAATCAAGGTGAGGCCTTACTAATGAGTATAAAGCTGCAGTATGACCTCTGGACTTCTGTAGCTTACACTTCTTGATATAAAACCCGTAATCTATTTGCCTTATACTACGCTTAGGCATTGCTGTCTTGGTTTAAGGTTGCTGCTCACCATAACCCCCAAGTCCTTTTCGCAATCTGTATGGCTAAGTTCTACATTATTTAACTTATAAGTGCTAGGTTATGGACACTTTCGAGCTTCAGAACCTGCATTTATCTACATTGAACTGCATCTGCCACTTTTCTGACCAGAGTAGAGTTTGTCTAAATCCTCCTGAATTCCCTAACATCTACGTTTGAATCAATATCCTACCTATCTTCGTGTCATCGGCGAATTTGCTCATATCACTAGTAATTCCTTCATCAAGATCATTGATATATATTATAAACAAACAACGGCCCAAGACTGATCCCTGTGGAACGCCACTTGTTACTGATCCCCACTCGGATTTAACCCCATTTATGGACACTCTCTGCTTCCTGTCTGTGAGCCATGATTCGTCCACGAGAGCACTCTTCCCCCCAAAGCCATGAGCTGTATTTCTTTTATTTCTTTGGGGCGGAACTCAAGTACATGTACAAGGGATAAATACATGTCCCAAAGGACACAAGTACATGTATAAGGTAACAATACATGTCAAGGTTTTTTTTTTTTTTTTTTTTTTCACAATTTCATGTACAAGGTATACAAGTCGGTACAAGGTATACAAATACATGTAAAAAAGGTATACAATTTAAGTACAAGGGGTTTTAAAAAAGTAATGTCCCAAAGGGAAAACAAGTACAGGGACAAGGTTTTACAGACCCTAGGTTACATCAGGACATACTACTTTATAGAAATCACTTGTTTTTTGCTGAGATTTCCCCCAAAAATTTGGTCAGGGTTTTTTCCCAGGAAAGTGACCCCCACCAGTCCCCCTAACACCCGGATTTTGACCCAAAACCAGTCCCCAAACCAAACCCCGGATGTGACCACACCAGTCCCCCAACACCCAGATGGACCCCCCCGGGCCACTAACCCCCCAGGGAACCCACTTCCCGGCCCCCGGGTTTAAAAAATGACAGCAGGGTTAAAATGACAAAACCCAGGAACCCCTTTTCTACTAGGGTTGGGAAAAAGGCACGGTGAATTTTGACTAACACCCAGGTACCTACTTTTTGCTGGGGAACAAAGAGAAACAGGTGTTAGGGGACTAAACAACTTATAACCCGATGTCACTTTCACCTAACATAAAACCCAACCTAAGGTATCTTAAATTAACCCACCCAACCCCAAAACCCCCTGACAAAACCCACCTAAAACCCTTTCCTACCCCAACCCTTCCTAACTTAACTTTACTTAACTAACCGAACCCTAACCCAAAATTTTCCCAAGCACCTAACCCTTTTAAACCTATTCTTTCCTAATCTAGCCTAACCCCAAACCCAATTTTTTCGTTAACACGGTGAAATTAATATGTTTAGAGAAGATTAAGTGACTCTCATCCCGCACCATTTGGAAAGTTGTGTCATGCTGCACCATGTTGGTTTCAATTGTGTGGCATGCCCGCACTATTTGTACAATGTGTTCATTTCTGCACATTTGTACTAAATGTGTGTCATGCTGCACCATGTTTTACTAAATGTTGTTTCTGCCCAAGTTGCATAGTGTGTCATGCTGGGACCATTTTTTTACTAGTTGTTTCATGCTGACCATTTATAGGTGGTATGCGCCCCCATGTTGTACTAGTGTGTGTTTATGCTGCACCTTTTTGCACTAGTGGTTTCCCTGCTGCACCATGTTTTTACTAAATGTGTGTCATCTGCAAACCATGTTGCACCCCTTTGACTAAATGTGTGTCATGCTGCCCAGTTTTCACTTGGGTTTTTTGCGCAAAAATGTTGAAATAGGGTGTGTCATGCTGCACCATGTTGGGACTAGTGTGTCCCTGCTGCACCCCATGTTCACTAGGGGGCATGCGCACCATTTTCACTAGTGAAGCTTTCCCCAGGGGGGGACAAATGTGTGTCCCCTGGTTTCACCATTTTTTGTACTGTGTGTGTCCTGCTGCACCCCTGTTGCACTAGTGGGGGGCATGCTGCACCATGGGTTTCACTAGTGTCCCCTGTGAAACCCTTTGTACTAGTGTGTGGCATGCTGACCATGTTGTTTTAAAAAAGTTGGGGTCTGCTGCACCATGTTGCATAGTGTCTTCTCACCATGGGGCAAATAGTGTTTTCTTGCGCACCATGTTGTAAATAGTGTGTCATGCTGAACCCAAATTGTTTCTGTGTGGTGTCATTCGCACCTTTTACTTTGTTTGTGTCATGCGCACTCTTTTTGTACTAGGGTTCATTTCTGCACTCTTTTGTACTAGTGTGTGTCAGCTGAATTTTTGTTTTACTAGTGGGTTTTCATGCTGCACTTAATTTTTTTCTAGGTGTGTCCCTGCTGCACCTTTTTTGGGTTTGGGGTTTTTGCTGCAACCCTTTTGTACTGTGTGTGGCATGCTGCACCCTGGTTTACTAGTGTGCGTCATGTGCAAACCCCCTTTTTACAGTGTGTGTTTATGCCCAACCCCGACATTTGTGTCATGCTGCCTATGTTGTTTTCTATGTGGTCATGCTGCCCCCATGTTGTACTAGTGGTTTTCAGGGTGAAACCCTGTTGGGATAAAAAAGGGGGAAAAAGAAGGGAACAAGGGGGGAAATAGGGTTGGAAAAAAGGAAAAGGAAAAAAAGGGGTGGTAAAAAAAGGAAAAAGGAAAGGAAAAAAAAAAAAGGTTGGTATAGGGGGTAAAAAAGGAAGGAAGGGGTTGCTGAATGTTGGAAAATAAAAAGGGATGTAAAAAAGGACCAGGAAAAAAAAGGGTTTAAAAAAAAAAGGAAGTGGGGAAAAAAAGGGGTAGGTACTAGGGAATGGGAGGTTTTAGAAAATGTGTGTCATGCTGCACCATGGTTTTACTAGTGTGGGCC